TAACTTTAACCCTAGCCCGGTTTTAGACAGTGATTTGTATTTCAACATTTCTGAAGATTGTGAAAATTTTATAGATAAAGGGAATCTTAACAGCGATATGGCATGCTCAATTATCTCTTGACCTAGCCATGCTAGGCTTTATAACAATTGCGGTCCTCTAAAAAATATATATTAAAATAGTGGAGGATACCATAAAGTAAGAACCGGGAAAAAAATCATCACCCAATATTTCTATATGAAGACACAAAAAATAAATGAATTTCTCTTGTTGTTTTTGCACATGACATGAATAATCATAATTTTAGGTATGTTATCATTCCTTCATCCGAGAATCCTTATATGTTTTGAAAGGCCCAGAACGCAAAACCACTTTTCCAAACCGGTATATGGTTCGTTTTGAATGGTCTGCGAAAGTCTAGGGTTTGATTTAGGCGATCTTATTTCTCAACGTTCAAGTCAGACCAAGCATAATAGTTTCGGGTTTAAAATGTACTTTCCTCTTTTATTGGGTTACTCTCGTGTGCTTCATAACTCATTAATTTCCTATTTTTTCTATTTACTAGGTAATTGCCCGTGCGTTGCAACGGGAGAACACATTAATGTATTTATGGGTGATATATTTAGGTCATGCTTTCAATAATAAATCAACCAATAGCTCTTTACCATCCTATTGTTACATTATAAAACATGTGCAATACATGTATTAGTTGAAATAGACACGCATTGCTATGGAGAAAAAATATATCATCACCGAAATGCAAATTTCTCATTTCCTAATTAATCCGAGGCAGCTTGTTCCACCATGAACTATCTTTTCACTCAAAAACCAACAAAACCTACTTTAGTGTTACAATCAAATGGCATCAAAGTACTAATAAAATAGTCGTCCTTCATATCTACTTTCTTATGCATTGTCGGTGCACAGTATATGATAAAAAATACAACATTATTGAACTCCTTGTGCATATTTGAGTCAAAAGATGGAACCACAGTAAATATCCAATTCAAAGGCAAAGAAGATACATAATTTAGTTCACCGTATATCTGCTTGAAAAGAATAGTCATGGTTAAACTGTACAAAACATTGCATCGCCGCTTCTGTAGTTATGCCCACTGTGATAGTTTCTCTTAAAAAAAATGAAGAGCAACTTTTCTGGAGAGTCTACGTAGGGGCTACATGCACTCTCAAAGGTCACCGCTGAACACAGTATATTCCTGGGCTTCCTTTCATCTTCACACAACTCATCAACTTCATGTTTTTCTCTGTGTAGCTTACGAAAAGAATTAGTTTAGCAATATTCTGACTTCGGCCTAGAGCACCAACTTCCCTCTTTGCTGAAAATTTGAGAACGACCAAATAACATTAGAATAAGTTATTTTAAATTACCCAAAAAATAGAGATAGGGTGCGTGATGTGATTTGTGACTAAGAGGCATTGAAAAGCATTTTTGCACCCGAAAAAAAAACATTTTTGCATGCTCAAGGCGGACATGAACTGTTCAAACAACCTATGGAAAGAACAAGAACTTGCTAAATAATAATAGTAGTAACAAAATATGCATATAATAGATATGGGCATACCAACCTCAAAAAAAAAAAGAGATATGGGCATACCTTGATTACTGACATATAAGTGCAGCACTAATTATGCAGTGGGTAGTTTTGAATGCGATGCACTAATCCTCGTCTGGAGGATGATCTCCTTTAGTCTCGCGTAGCCACCGATTGTGATACACACACATCACGAATATAGTTTATGAACTGTGCGTAGCCTCCATGGCATGTAGAGGTGCTACCGATTGTGATACACACACATCACGAATATAGTTTATGAACTGTGAACTTGCTCTTGCGCGGACAAGATAGCACCTACGTATTCCCACATAGGTTTGTGAAGCTTAACCTCCGACCAGTCGCAAATCAGCTCGTGCTTCCACACAACTGCTGACACCGGAGCTCTCCACACAAAAGTATTGTGATTATATTGGAAAAAGGAGCAGCATGTTCATGCTGTTTCTAATATAACTGAATATAAATAGAATTAGCATGGTCAATGGCAGATTGAATTAGCTAAACAGACAGCCACATCTTTCCGAATCAACGAAGATTGCATGGCCGGAACGAAGTGCTCATGAAAATTCGCACCATCGGACATGGATGCTCACCTTGGTCTATGCAAAATAGGCTCCACCGGCAGCGGCTAGGACGAGGCAGGGTGGATTCGCCCCGACGAGATTCCGCACAACCGCGTTGGATCCTCGCGTGGGCAGGAACACCATGTTGGTCAGCCCGGCGCCGTGCACGACCAGCATGACGTTGCAGGTGTTGGCCAGCTCCGCGGACGCTCGTGCGTGCCCTCGCAGACAAACCTCGAACCCAAGCTTCTACGCAACGCGCACGATCTCGTCGGCGTTCACGAACCGTCGCGTGTTGGCGCGGGCGATGAGCAGGACCTGCGGGCGGGTGGCGGCGGCTGGCACGGCAAGGCCGCGCGGGAGGCCGTAGGTGCCGCGCATGTGCTGGCCGGGTGAAATCGACCATGGAGTAGGCATGGGGCGTGCAGAGCGGGTTGATGCCCACCTGGACTGGACTTGGCGGAAACAGCATGTGCGGTTGGTGGCGGCGAGGTCGTAGTTGGAGAGGCTATTGAAGACCAGAAGGAACTTGCCGATCCACCACATCTGTAGATCGGAGACGAGGAACCGCACCTTCCCGCCGTACTGCTTCGCCATGGGGATCAGCAGCAGGATCGCGTCTGTGTACGCGTGCAAGTAGTTGCCCGTGTACCTGCGGTCCGAGAAGAGCAGCGCCAGCACATCGTGCCACACCGTGCACTCGTCAACACCGCCGGGGAGCGTCGTCGTGGATCGCATCGTAGTGTTGCAGATGAAGCGCATGACATTGGCGTCGACCTTGCGGCGGTTATGGCCTGACACACCACTCCTCGGCTTGGGGCGCGCCCACCAGGTGACCGTGCCGTTGGCATCTTCACCTTGGCGTATGTAAAATAGCCTCTTCTGGCGGCGGCTGGGACGAGGCCGATCGATTCATTCCCAACAAGACTTCGGGCGGCCATAGCTGGATCACAGGACGGTCGTCCTCCTTGGCATCGGATCATGTGGCGGTAGGGGAGGAGGGAGGAGGTAGGCGATGTCTTAGGCGGTGGCGGTGGCGGCGGGGAAAGATTAGGCCAGGACGGGAAAACCAGCGCTTGTTGTTTCCGTTTTTTTAGAGAAAAATCGGGAAAACCAGCGGTCGCGTGGGGAGGGGGATCGACGAAGGGTGGGTCGACGTAATAGGGGAGACGGAACCTTCCGTCTCTTTTAGGTAGTATATAGAAATACCAATTGATACGATCAAAAAAAAAAGTATATAGAAATACCAATTGATTCTTGATGGTCAAATACTTACAATTGAAAATAAGTTAAGCGGCAACACTTTTACTAGGCCTATCCAACAATATTACTTTCACAAAGTAAAAAAAAGTGTAATTCCAAATATTACTAATGGCTTTTTTGCGTGTGGAAAAAACCAAGTACACTAATGTCGAAAGTTTGCAAATGTCCAATATATGGACCCCACAAAGACCAACACTGAATGTACATAATATTAGTCCACGGGACAATATAAAACCATAAAGCTACATATACATTTACATGAAAATGAGAAGTGACATAAATTTGGGCTAACTACAAAGAAAAATAGACTCTCTTTGTTCTAAATGTAAGGTGTGTTTTTATTCGTTAAGAGAAGAGAAGCTTTTGAATGAAATAGGGGTGTAGGGCATAAAGTTGCAGTAACCCAGTAACATGGATTGCTTCTGAGTAAAGGGACATAATCATGCGAGTAAGACCAACACGTGTCTCAGTGAAGCACAAACTGAAATTGTTTTGTGTTTCCTAGTTATACGAAAAAGATGTGTCGTAGTTTAAAAGGAAAACGCTATCCTTAAGCCGATGGATGCACTTGCAGCGTCTGACGCCTGCATAGTCGTCGGATCAATCTTGATCGAGCGCTCATGCTGGCCACAAATCTTGTGCGACCAATCTTTTTGCAACAATCGTATTGTTTCAGAAAGTTTCTGCAATAGAGGTCTTGTTTCAGAAATTAAAAAAAAGATTCAGTAGTGAAGTTTTTTTTTCCAGCAATAGGGTCTAGTTTTAGAAAGTTTCTGTAACAGAGGTCTTGTTTTAAAAAAAATGGTTCGACTGCGAAATTTTTTTTCTTCTATAACAGGGGTCTGCTTCAGAAACATAGCTCGGGTTGCAGAAAGCGTTGGAGGAGCGCACGATGTTAGAGCGTACGGGGCCAAGTATTGCAACACGAGCATGTTTCAGAAACATAGCTTCAGTTGCAGAAATCGTCAAAGGAGTGCCCGGCATGGGAGCTCGTCGCCGTCATGCTAGAGTAGAGGCCGCGCAGTGAGCTCGATTTGCGATCCAAAGCATCTGACGCGCGATATGGTGCGCCATGGTGTTGCAGAGAGTTCAATTTAGTTCCTGCACACTGGCGGCGGGTTGATTTTGGTGGCGGGTTGGTGACGGACGTCGTGCTGGGCGCAGCTCTGTGGGGGCCGGGGGCAAGTTTGTTGTATTGTTTCTGCAACAACGCACATGTCGTTACGGGAATAATGAGGGGTGCATGCGGGACGCGCACACTAGATCGGACGGCTGTCCAGGCGGCGGATAATTTAAGTACATCTGCCGGCGGACACGCACACTAGATCGGAGGGCTAACAGCTCAGGAATAAACGGCTGTCCAGGCGGCGGATAATTTCAGTACATCTGCCGGCGGACGCGTAGCAGCGCCCATTATAAAATTTACTCTGTAGTGCCTTATATATAATATGGTAACATAAATACATTTGTACAGGACCGCATTTCTCAGTAAAATATGTTTGGAAGGTGTCTTTACTACGGCCATCTTGCAAAAAACAACAGATGAAAATAAATTAATTCAAAAAATGATTTGTACGAAATAAGGCTGGATTACCCCACCCATCAGTATAATATTTGTATGCAAGAAAATATGAGGCATCTTAAAAACAAAATAGTTCGAAGTAATGCTTCTACTATGTCAGATGTCTTGTATATTACCTTTTTTTCAAATAGGCGGAGAGCATCCTCATCACTAAGAAGCTCGAGATTGTATATCTGGCTTTCTATCTGCGAACATGACTCGGCAACATTCAGTTTCCGAGTGGTGACAATGATCTTGTTGGCAGTATTTTCTCTTGATGGCAACAGCTGCTTTATCCATTGCCAGTCTTCGATGGATGATAGATCGTCAAAAACAATGAGGCATTTCTTGTTCGATAAAATCTCTGCCAAAGTTTCAACAGTTTTTTTGTTTTCCGTTGTTTGAGTCTCCTCTCCATTGTCATTTTGCTGTCCTTCAGGCTTTTCTTTGTCTCCATGATAATCCACTTTCAATTGCCGTTGCAAGTCCTCATGAAATTCTTGATGGCTTAGATGGTTCAGAGAATGCGGCACTGTGAACCAAGCGCGCCTCTGAAATCTTTCACTGAGTTCTTGTTGGTAGAGACTTGTTACAAGAGTAGTCTTCCCAAGACCTCCCATTCCCCAAATGGTGATCACCTCGCCAGGTTGACTGAGTAACTCAATAACTGTAGCTTTTGCTGCCACCCGGTTGATAAGCCGATCTTCCTCCAAAGCGGCTGCCACTGCACTGGCACTAGTGAGCTTCTGATCTGCGTGCTGCTGTTCCTCACGAGGAGCTTCTTCAGCACTTGTGATCTCACCATTTGAGCTGGACTCGGCCTTGTGACCTCCTTTGATTTGAGCCTCCACCTGCACACAAGTTCAGCCAAATGGATTAATTTAGGCGAACTAAGCTAACTGCTAGGCATCTAAATAAAAATAAATACTGCATATTGATTCATCGACATAGTATTAATTTTATTAGTTCATATATGGTACATGCGGTGACACAGGGGCTCGACCGACCCCCCCTCTCCCGTCCCGACTCGGGGGCGACTAGGGTTAGCCCCCGCCGCCACCCCCGCTCCCCCCTCGCAGCCACCGGAGACGACCGCCGGGAAAGCCCGCGCGGGCGCCGGGGAAGGTGGCGGCGGGGTATTCGGCGCTCCTTCTTCGCGGAGGCCCTCGGATCCAGGGCGGCAGCCCCTGTTGGCGTGGCGGCGCCGTCGTGCGACCGGTGGCGTGCGCAGGTGGACGGCTGGCCTGAGGGCTCGGCCGTGAGGATGGCGAGCCGCAGGTGGTGGTCGAGCGCGGCGCGGAGCTTCCCGTGCCAGATCTTAAGGTATTGCCCCCCTTCCCTCCATGCTTCCCCTCCCAGCCCCCGTTTTGACTGTGGATCTTGCCGTATCCGCCTCCGGTGTGTTTTGGTGGAGCAGATCGGGGTCCAAGGGAAACCTTGGCCGCCTTGGCTAGCCGGCAGCGGCGACACCGCCTTTTGGCGCCGCTTTACTCCTTGGGGGCGCTGCTGAGGACACCATCTCTCCACTCCGACCCATGTCCGGGTGAAAGCCTAAGATCCGATGCGGATCGGGCGTCGGCGGCGCCTCGTGCACCGTAACCTTCCTGAAGGCGGCGCCAGGGACGTTGGGTTTGGATGGGAGGGTCTGCAGGTGAGGGGTGGGGTGTGCTGCCTCCCTTTCATCGTTCGACGACTTGAAGCAATTTTCTCCAACCAGTTGGGCATATTCCTGTGGCGGTGCAATCTGCAGGCACTTCCCAAATTGAGGGGGTCGCCCGGTGGTCACCTAGCGAAGCGAGGACGATATTATTCCAGCTCTCGGGTGAGCTTTCTCTGGATCCTGACGGTACGGCGCCACGAGCCATGGCGAGGGGGTAGGGACCCCCTTCGGTGCCAGAGAAGGAAGATGTTTGTTTCCTCCTTCCCGAAGTGCTTCTCGAGCAAGGTTCTTCCTCGACGGTCGGTGTTGTCTGCTCTGTTTGTTCAGGCCTGTTTCTATGATCCTAGTGTGGAGTGTGCTGCCTCTTGCAAGTTGTTTTGGCAGCTTGTTCTCGCGTAGATAGGATTTGCTTTCCAGTTTCGTCCCAATTGTACCAGTTTCTGTGGCGTGTAAGTTGGGTTGTAACCTCGGCCGGTTGTTGGCTTTGTTAATTCAAAGCGGGCTCTTCGCGAGCCTTCATTCTAAAAAAATAAATATATATGGTACATGCCTATCTATCACCTTGTTGCATTAATATACGAAAAAATAACATTCGATTATCTAAATTAAGATGAAGAGGAGGTATGTTACTAGGATTTGATTACCTTGTGCTTGTGGTAGAAGACATACAAGTCCTTGTCGAATGACCATTTTGGTTCAATCTCCGCTACCGTGTACGGCTGCTCAGTGCACAATCTTGCAACTTCAAATTGCTGCGTGGACACAATGATCTGGCTCCCGTTCATGCTTGGGAAGTATGTTTTGATCCAGTCCCACTCTTCTATGGTATGCACATCAGCAATAACAACCAAGTACCTCTTCTCCGTCACATACCGATTAAACTCATCGACCAAACTATGATCTAGTGCCGACATCTTCTTCAGAACTGTCAGTCCAGTGGCTGTTCCTCCTCCTTGCGTAATTGCTTTACCAGATTCATCACATGAATCTTGGTAAAACTGCCTCACCATGCTGACAAAGAGGTCATTTGGGTTGAAGGGATGCATCAGCCTTACCCAGGCTCGGCACTGAAACTTACCTTTTACTTCTGGCTTATCATAGGCAGCTCTGATGATAGATGTGACCCCAACATCGCTGCTTGCTCCCCACACCGCGATCACCGACCCATGGCCATCTCTGGTGATCAGCTCGGCAAGATCCGCCTTTTCCTTTTCCCGGTGAAGCGCAGCACGTGTTGTGGCTTCAGCGACGTGAAGTATCACCTCACTGCTGATGGTGGCAGTGGCAGACGATGGCTGCCCAGATGATTCCTTGATGAGGCGGTAGCGCACGTTCCTCTGGCCGATGTCCTCCACCTTGGTTCTGAGCTCCTTCATTTCCTTGGCCACAAAACGCCGGTCAAGCAGCCTTTGGGGGATACACCACCACGACTGCTGATGATCTAACCTGACGGCGAAGTCCAGGAGGCAGTCCTCGACGTCGTATGCCACGTCGCGGACTTGCTTCACCCAGATCTTGACCACCATGCTGCTGCCTTCTCGCCCCTCCTCGTGTGCACACATCAGGAAGCCCTGCATCATCTCGAGCTCACCCGTGATGAAGGCCTGATCACGCCGTACTCCCAGCTGCAGGGCCACCTCCTCCGCCAAGGCAGATTTGGCGTAGCTAAGCGCTCCGCTCAGCACGGACTTGCCCACGCTCAGCACCGTTGCCTCCATTTTCGCTTAGCTGGTGTCTGGTGGGGGTTTGTTTGTGTCAATAGGTAGTGATGGCGTGCACATTATAATTAAGGCTGTGGCTGCATCATGCATGTACAAGCACAAGATAACAAATGAGAGATTAGAAAAGAGGAGCTCGGCTGGAAGTGCGAGCTGAGCACGTTCGCAAGTTGGCTTTGCTTTGCTCTAAGCATCTAACGAGACGGAGAGAGAACATAGTTTATCCAACGGATTTAGTAAATTTTCATTTACCGCACAGCGCTATTTAATCTAGAGTATAAGTTAGTTTAAATCAAGTATTTTGTTGACTGCAAAGTGATCGGTATAACCACATTAATGTTTTGCGGCACTTTGTAACACTCATTGTGCCATTTTACAAATTATATGCCTCTAGCTTCAAATTCCAGCTGGTATTGATTTGATGCCCGGTTTGAGAGATAAAAATGGTGCTTATGGCATTAGTTTGAAATAAAAGGTCTGGTTGTGATAGAGAAGCTATTAAAAAAAACTGTGACAAAGAAGCTCATTAATGATGGGAGGTTAGCTAAACGACAGTAATTCAGGTGATTTCTTTATTAAGACAGCCTTCGTAAAACAAAGTTTAATCACGAGGCCGTCCCCGTTATCTTCATTATAGAAACGATAGTGATGCCATAACAATATTTATTTTTCAATAGACTAGAGGCATCTAACGAGATAGAGAGAGAAAACAGTTTATCAAGCGGATTTAGTAAATTTTCATTGACAGCGCAACGCAGTTTAATTTAGAGTAAAAGTTAGTTTAAACCAAGAATTTGTCCACCGCAAAGTGAACGGTATAACCGCATTAATGTTTTGTGGCACTTTCTAGCACTCATTGCTCCATTTTATGAACTATATACCTCTAGCATTAGATTCCAGCTGGTATTTGATTGATGCCCGGTTTGAGTGATAAAAAATGGTGCTTATGACGTTAGTACGGAAAAAGTTCTGGTGGTGATAGGGAAGCTATTTTTTTTAACCGTGATAAAGAAGCTAGCTCATTACTAATGGGGGAGGTTAGCTAAACGACAGAGTAATGCAGGCGCTTTTTTTAATTAAGACGGCCTTCGTAGGTCAAAGTTTAATCACAAGGCCGCCCCTGTTATCTTTATTACAGAAAAATGATAGCGATGCCATAACAATATTTATTCTTTCAATGGACTAGAGACAATTTACATGTTCTCACATGGTGGTTGTTGCGTCGAGCTCAACCATGGCTTTGCTCGCTCGAACTAATCACCTCACAGATTACAAAACGGTGGCCCGCTAGCTCCGACAATGACGCTATAACATTCTTCCTACAAAAAATGATGCTATCGCACAGAGTTTTTCTTTCACGTACGACTTCCCCAAAGCTTGTGAAGTTGGGTTCCGCTATCAAAAGGAAATAGGCCCAGACAGGGAAGTTGAAGTTTCAACCAAGCATGAAGCATCCAATTTAGAACCAAACCAAAAGACAATCACGCCATGCCAACAAGGGTGAATACACTGGTAGGAATCGAGTAGGCACCCTTACACTAGTGTATGTGTTAGGCTAACCACCTGACCTACTGATGTAGGGTGGAACCCTATATGGACGATCTTTCCGTTTGGAGTGGATCCTACGGGGAATCACGAAGAACACACGGAAGAACACGAGGAAAACACGGGGAGGAACGAGAGAAACACTCAACCGACAAGAGATCAATCACACAAGTGCTAGATCACCGAACACAAAGAGATACATATGATCCACAATCAACAAAGGTAAGGATACAAAGGAACCGTTCTTCTCCGTGAGGAGGCCTTGAAATCCACGAGGGGATCTTCCCACGAGGGGGTCTTGAATCCGATAGGATCTTCTCCGAGGAGGCTGCGGTCTCTCACGAGGAGGAGATCCGATGGATGAGCGAAGCTCTATCTCTAATTGAGCTAAATCAACGCTAACCCTAACTAGGAGGAGGTGGAGGAGTATATATAGTCTAGAGCCACGAAGGGGTAAGTGAGGGCGAAGGGGTACACGGGCTCGGCCCAATACACTGTGCGCAGACAGGCCGGTTGTACCGGTCATGTGGGCGGTTGTACCGCTGGTAACTCATGCAGGGCGGAAGTACCGGACGAGGAGGGCGGTACTACCGCTGGGAGGTCAGGCGCTGGCTTCTGGAGATGGGCGTCGGAGGGGCCAGCGGTTGTACCGGTTGTCGGGGCGGTAGTACCGGTCATTTGGTAATTACCGGTGCATCCGGTACAGTACCGGCCTTGCACCGCTCGATCACAGAAAGGCGGCCGGTTGTTGGGCGGTAGTCGGCCGGTTGTACCGCTTGGGCGGTTGTTGACCGGTTGTACCGCTCGTTCTGGAGCGGCCAGGTTCTCTTCCTCCTTCTCTTCCATGCTTGGCCTCGGTCCTTGGATTTTCCATGGTCGTCTCGGTCGTACCTGAGTATATGCAAGATCCATGCATGAGGTAGTAGCCATGTCTCACATGTAGAAAGTGAAGGTTCGGAGAGGAGCGAGTTCACCTTGTGTCCAATGGTAAATATTCGAGGTCTCGTCATATGTCCACTTGGGGCTTGGAGAATAGTTAGAGTGTACATGGGGATGAACGTGGGATGCTCCGCATCATCTCCCCCCCCCCTTGTGAAAGATCCGACCTCAGATCGTGATCCTCATCACCATGGAAACGGTTGTCGTGGACGGACTTGTAGTTGGACGAAGTTGAAGAAATGGCGCAATCCAAGTAGTTCAAGGTGTCGCCGGAGTGATAGACATGCAAAAAGAGCAAACACAAGCAACACTCGGAAATACAATGGTTAGCGCACACAAAGTGTCCATCATGTAATAATGAGTCCGTGCGGCAAGATAGGTCGTGATAAAGCGCATGAAGCTTATCAAGATGATCTAGAATGAGATGCAAAGCATTCATGGGAGAAAAGGCAATCATTGTGTACACAAATGTGTTATGAATATGAGCAATGCAACCACGGTGCAAAATGATGTCATAGTGAGACGGTTTATCAGTAACATGAATATGGCAATGGATGCTCAATATGTGTAAGCTATCATGCAATTGATGGTGGACAATATGATCATGATGTATGAATATGCCATCAAGGAAGATCACAACAAATTTGCTAAGGAAATGCACAAGCTCATATATCATGGATGACATGGAAATAGATGCAACAAGGCAAGCATAATGTGAGTCAATCCATGCATAGTGTGCAAACTTGTGGTGAGTATGATATGTCCATCGAGCATGACATGTATGAGCACTATCAACAAATATGGAGGTGTTGGTGTACCAAAGCTCGATGTCGAGGCATGAGTGGAAGACCGAAGGTGCATCCACTAAGTGCGAGCGCTCCTCAATGTTAAGGTCCATGTAGCCAATCTCCAATGTCGCTCCTCCGTTCACGAGATGTATCATGTAGACAACAAGAAGGAAACAACAATGAAAGAGTGACCCATCCAATATGTGTATTTGAGGATGGCTCAAAGAGAAGGAGTTCACACCTTTATGAGATGTCGAAAATGTTGGTGTCGCACATCGTGTATGCCTTCACATAACCAATGTGTCTCATGACGGTAATGCCTTGTGAATCCTTCAAAACGAAAGGACATGACAAACACTCGGAAAAACAAATGAGGTTAGCGGACATGCAAAACCTATCATTCGAGTGGTAATATACCGAACAAGTGTATGCATCATGCTCATCATAAGAAGGTACAAGGAAGCATTTCATAGTGTGGAGGCATATGATGCAAGAACAACCAAATACAAGAGGCTTAAGGAAAGAAGTATGCATCACAAGTAAGGTGTCAAAGTCTCCGAAATCAATAAGCATAGTATGGTTGCACTCAATACAAGTGGATATGAAAGAGGCAACTAATGGACACAAGAGACAATGATCAAGATATATCATGTGAGAGGCATGAGCATATATGTCATCAACCCAAGAAAGCAAGTAATAGTGGAACATGGGTGATGCAACATAGCAAGCAATCATATCAATCAAGTCAAGCAAGCTAGTAGTGCGAAGATGCAACATACTAGGAGGAATCATGGCAAGCATGTCATTGGTGCAAATAATGGGCATGAATAATTCATATGTCATATCACAAGCATGAAAGCAAGATGTGAGGAAAATAGCATGAATGTATTGGCGAGATACCATATGTAAATAGCAATGGGGCATCATGACTCTACCAACACAACAAGCATTAATAGCATGGGGCACATGATAAACATGGCAAAAGCAACAAGGATCTCCACCAAGCATGCAAATACACATAGAAGTATCATAATGGTGCATCATGGGTACATGCAAGCAAGGGTCACAATTGCATGGCAAATGCATAGAAACAAGTATAACATGCAAAGTGAACACGATAGTATGGGCATAAGGTGACAAGTGGTAAATAGCCCATAGCCGTGTGAGAGACAAGTAAAAGAGATGCGCGTAGTCCTTGCGCGAAGGGAACGGTGGTAAGGATAGTCCACAGGATCCCAAGTTATCGTTGCTCTCAAGAGCTCGTTTCGTCAACTCATGGGATTGTGAGGTTGACGAGTGTTCATAAGTACCTACACAAAACAAAGACAAAGAGAAAATTGTGTGTGCATGGTATATGTACACATCATCCATCATGATGCGCACGTGCTTGTGTCGGTTAGTACAAAATATCCAATGCTCAAATAAATGAGATGCGCGATATAGAAACATGTCATCCATCATGAGAGGTTTGTTATGATGTATGTCATAATGGAGACTCAAAGGATGTAATGCATCATGAGAAATATCTAGAGCATTATTATTCATGGAATGCATATGGTGCACACAATTGTGGGAATCATGCAAAGTATGAAATGCATCAAGATCTCCTAATATGTATGAGGAAACTATGGGGGTCTCCTCATTAGCAATATCGAAAGCATAATATGGAGAAAATGGACAACATGGTAAACAATGCATATCCAAAGCTAGGTGGTCATGGCATGGCAT